TGTACGCCCAACGTGTGCTCCCTAAAATCCATGTAATAACTTTGATATGCTAGAAAACTCGGTACCTGAAGTCAATTAGCCTTGTTCATAGATAAATTCAAATTTTAAAAAGACCATTACCGCCTTTTTCGGCTTTCCAAACTGTTGACGTCCTTCTCGGCCTTTCTTTACTGTCTCCACACGTTCTTCTTTTGTTTCTTTTCTCAATTTTTTATGGAATTTTTCAATGTCTTTAAGCCGTGTTAAACCATTCTCTTCATTGTGCCTGCATAATGTATTTTCTTAACAGACTCATATCATTATAAATTTAGTCAAATTTAATTAGGATGAAGAAATTAAAAGATGAAATATAAGACAGAAATTTAACTTCTAAAATACAATGCAATTCACTAATTAAGTAAAAAAAAAAATCTAATTAAGTAAAAAATCGTACACACTAATTAAGTAAAAAAAAAAATCGAGAATTTCGAATATCAAAACTTCTCCCTTACGTTACTAAATATTTTAACCAGAGATGAAAGTTCTTCAAAATTCTCTAAGCATAAATGATAAAAAATTGCCTAGCGATGGTTTCTCCCAGTTCTTCTTCCAATTTTATGTCATCGTTTCTTCGCTTTCCATCATACCCTACTTGTTGTTTCAAACGGAAAGCATTGATTTTGCGGAAATCATTTTGAGTTAAGATTCGAGTTTCACATACCCGCCTTGCTTTCTTTTTTGTATCAGAAAATGTGATTTTCTGATCATTCTACAATGTTAATTTGATTAAGTTTACTTAGTAATTAATCATCGGATTCGGCAAAAAAATTTTACCTAAAATCTTGGGTAGAATAAAAAATAAAAGCAGTGCTTTCTTTACTACTTTTCGCTGATTTTACTGAAGTATTTCAAAGAAATTAGTATTATATTAAAAAATTATATTACCGATGGATACACATAAAAATCCGAATTACCGTTTCAAGAGACTCCTTATTCGGAGATCTTGCATTGTTTACGCAAATATCAGTTACTACTACGTGATTACCGCATGAATCCATATTTACATCTGAATCCAAAGAGTCATGTTCAACAAATTCAGTGTCAAAATCAGAATCAAAATCAGTATCGTCGCTTTCATCGTTCTGCACCTGATAATCATTTTAGACGCTATTACAACAAAATAATAGTTTTATGGCAAATAATTCCAATTATCTTGAGTTTTACCAATTGCATAAAGGATTTGTTGCACATTTAGTGTGCAATAAATCCTTTATCATATGCTCACAAAAAAGCAAAAACTGATTCAGAAAGGATTCACAGCGAATCAAAACTTTTAAGGAGTAAGTCTTAATTAAGATCAAAATCAAATCTCATTAAAAAAAATGAAATAAAGAATCGAAACATACCAGCTCCCTATCAATTGCATCAGCTTCCACTGGTAAACATTCTGCTCCTTCCACGAATTCTTTCGCATATTCAACACCGAATTCAGCTACTTTCAAATCTTTTAATTTTTGTGTTGGCCTGAAAATATTCCAAAGCACTACAAAGTTTGTCACAACAAAAAGTTAAAAACACACTGTCAAGTGTACCAACCTTCCCCGATCCTTCCTATGTAAAAGCTTCGGATTAACAGCGCGAAACAAAGTGATAATACCTCGTGCCGCCATGGACACATTCTTGTTTTTAAAGCGTTTGTACTGAAAAAATCGCTGATATACAAAAACAAAGAAGTAAAGCAACAATTTTACCCAAACAATAGCATTTTATACTTGAGCTATTTCAACAATAATGATTATTTCTTACAATTCATGACTCTTAGAGTTTTTGATTTCAGTCACATATAGGGAAGTTTCAGAAATATAAAAAACAAAAGGAAAGTGAATGCATACATCAGTCAAATCTCTAAGTAGATCCTCTGTTGCAGCAAATGGACAGTTTGCGAATATTTCACGTATAGTATTTAATCCAACTGTTACTGCCTCCGGTGTATTTCTGTCAGAAACAAAATTCTGGGCAATAACATACACCAGCTGTTCGATAATATCTGGTGGTACCAATTCATGACAAGCCTGTGCTACATATAGCAATATCCTGGTAATCTGAAAATAAATGTTTAAAGTATTTTGCATTATGGAAATTAAAAATTCCTATCTCCAAAAGTATTAACATTTAGCAAAGTACGGAGCAAATCACGATGCTTTGAAAACATCTGTTTATAAAAACATTTTCATGATAAAAAACGAACTTCTCTTTGTTTTGGCTGGAGAAAGCGATGCATGTAGGAATAAAACGATAATGCTTGCAATCTGTGAGTACCAATCAGTCGGGCACATAGCGCCATACACAGAAGACGCGTTTCGAATTTCTCATTCTTCCTGTTCTCCAATAACCCGAACAACCGCTCAGCAAATGTTTGAGGATCATAAATGTAACGAATTGCTAATAAATTGCAGAATTTTCCGGCATTCTCATTTTTGGATTTTTTGCCTTTGCTTAACAGTTTCTTAGCTTTCATATACCTTTCCTTCTTTTTACGAGTCTTTTTTGCAGCTTTATATGCAACGACAACCTGAAAACTATTTTTGGTGTCTAAATTCTTTGAATGGAAAATGTCCTTGAATAATATTTAAAAATCCAATGCATGTTCAAGTTATTCGGTAAAAATGCACTTACTTCTTTTAAAGTTTTTTGATCTTCTTCACTTGCACTTTCGTCGTCATCTGAATCGTTATCTTCCAATGAGCCAAGGAAAAACCTTATTGCTGCAATCTATAAATAGGATAAATGCACTGTTCAAAGTAATGAACTTAGGAGTTCAGACAGTTTTTGTACTTTTTATTTCTTGCTACGCACCAACCATTTGTTTTTGTCACCAAAATTGCTTAATTACACAGTCGAGCTTATGCTGTATTACTGAAGATTCAAGATGAGGTATGCAATACTCTAACAAAATATTATGATGACAGCCAAAAAAGTATTCTTTTTTATCTTCTGCCTAATTGGTTAGATTATTTTTATCATAAAACATGATTCAAATAAACCTGAATGCGTGAAATTTTGTGAAGACAACACTCTGCTAAAGCGTTCGCTGTTTTAGCATCTTTCAAAAAACCCTTTCGAAATCCATCGATAAGTACCTGGAAAGCATTTAAAACTAAATAATTTAAGTACGATTAAAGTAGAAGTTCTATATCCGAATAACAATTAAGAACAATTAAGAGAGAGTTGATACCAATTCAGCTGTGCGAACAACAATGGATCGAGAGTCCTTTAACTTCGTAAACAAAAAAGTTCGGACTTTAGATAGCATCTTTTGATCCCGATATTGTAGTGTAAGTTTTTTTATTAAAGCTTTTATTGACCCGCAGATAAACTTCCTGAAAGTCAAATAATACTGTTATTTCCCTTCCCTTAGCTGTATTCCCATTTCAAATGGTTGACACTTATTAACTCAGTCTTTTCATTACGTCCATGAAAACCGATTTCAGAAATGAGAATGTTCAAGTATTCATGCGTTCAAGCAAAGAATTACAAACTAACCTCAAATTTTTGTCTTCGCAAGGAACAAGAGTAAAAAACAAATCCATAACAGCCAACGGATCAACGATTCTGCGATTTCGTAGTATAACAAGAGCTTTACAAAATGCCACACGAATCTGAAGTTATTCTTTCTAGGAAATTTTATTGAACTTACTTATATGGTTTGTACAGAGTTTGAAAAAAAGGTAAAGGCAGAAATCTTTCCTCAGCATATCATATCATTTTCCTAATTTTTTTAAAAAAAGGACTTCTCTAAAGTTCTCTGAAAATCCACAAAATTACCTCTGGGTCAAGTCCTGTAAGTCGACTATTCAGAATCTCCATAATACTAGCTGCATATTCCGTACCCTCTTCTGCAAAATGGAACCTATATTGCTAAATTCGCAAAGATTTATAACATATCACCACTTTTATATAGCTTGTTTAGACAGAGATTCGTATTTCAGATAAATCTTTTAGACTAACTTGGATAGTGAGTACTAGCAGACGCCAAGAAATTAATCAATTCAAGCAGTGACTGCAGATCCGCATGATTTAAACTCGGTTGCAGTCTCAATAACTGTATTGTTTTAATATAGAAATTGTATTCCGCTAAGAATTCTTCTTTGTATGACTCTGGATCTTTATTTATCTGAAACAGAGTTTTACCATGTCATTCAACTCTCTCTTACGCTCAACACTTGTGTTTGATGTGACAGTATGGATTCATGATTTTTTATGTAGCATGTCATCTATTCTTTACAAACAAAAGGAAAATTCTGTCAACTAAGATATGACGGCATAGGATGATCAAATGTAGGCAGGTAGCCTTGTGTTCCAAATATTTTCATTTACAGTTACTTAAGAAGATATATCGGCAAATAAATAGATCACATCCTCCATGCTTTCATGTACGATTTAATGAAATATATTTTCTCATTTTCCATTTAAGCGTAAAATATGGTACTGAATTTCATTACCATGTCATACAATAACAAGAAAAGCTTCAAACAAGGAAAATCGGTACCAATTCCTGCAATAATCCAAGGTTTGTTTCCAAATGAGTAGCCATTACTCCTGAAATTATGACACGTCAACATCAAATGTAAATCAATTTAGCAGAATTAAAATCAATTCCAACCGTATATATTGATCCAGTACCAACCATTTACCTATGTATGCCAAAGGAATTGATGCATTTGTCCCTTCATCCGCCCTGCCTGTCGCACAAGAAACGCAAATGGAAAATAGCAGGCCGAGGGGTACTTCACAGCTAATCAGTAAAAGGTTAAAGATTACTTGGTGGTTAACTGTCAGCGAATCGTCGACGAGCATTCCACTGGAAGTGTGTATGTGTGTGTTGTGTGTCACAAAGTGGTGCTGGAAATGCTTAGTATGGAGGAATTACTAACGGAACAGGGTGGGAGAAGATTACCCGAAGATTAAAGTCTTCCAGGAATTTAATTTGCTTGTCTAGATATACAACAGGCTAATTTGAGATGTGTGACAAAGAATTGTGTGCTTTGGTTAGTGCCAAGAACAGACCCGAATTGCTTATTGCTCTTCAAGACGCTCTGCAGGTAAATGCTTCTTATACCCTTTCTAATTCTCGAGTATGAGTATTTTAAGTCTGAGTTTAAACTTAGTAATTTACACAATGGTGTCATCGTATTTTTTTTTTTTTTTATGGTTTATAAACCTAAAGCTCTTTGTGTATTTAAGATTAATGGCAAATTCCCTACTTTTTCCCTTCTTTTAGTCCTTATCTATTTATGTAATTTCAGTGTGTGTTATCACCAGAACGGTTACCGTTTGTGAAATATCGCATACTCACTCAACTGGTTAACATATTTCATCCTTCTGTAATTGGTAACTACCTCTCTTATTTTACTTATTGGTAAGATATTTAGTTGTTAAAAAGCTAGACATGACAAACAGATAAGAGACCACAAAACTATTAAAAAATGCTTAGCACGTGAGAAAATAAGATTATTAAATGAAAATGGAAGTTATACAAGAAGTCAGAAAGACTGTTATTGTTTTGACAAAAGGGAATGAGCAAAAGGAAGTTGTTTTGATCTTAATCATTTACATTCTTTAATAAAGAAAGTTTAATCAGAAGTGTGGAACAGTGGAACATCCTGTAAGAAATAACAGCTTAATCGGTTGAATGTGATTTTAATTATCCCTTTTTTAGTTTAGGATTTGCATTCACTTTAAAAAGGACTGGAATTCCAGGTCTTTTGACATCGAATGAATTCAACGAGTTGTTTACAACATTGTTCCGTTCAGCTCCGTTAGACGATGCTTTCCTAGTTTTGATTAATGCTTTGCATTCTTGTGATGGTTCTCAGATGTTTCGCTTGCAGCATATAATAATTCTACTGGATGATCTGGAGAAAACACGTTTAGAATCATTGCTTGTTGACAGCATTGGGAGGGATCCGAGCGACGGTCAGAAACTATTCGTTTATTATATCTCAAATTTTCTACAGAATTTTCAAAACAAAGCTCAAAGTAATCCATATCTAAGACATATGGATACATTAATATGTTTTTTGGTAGTTAAATAAATATTAGTTTTGCAGATAAAAATATTAATTCCTTTTTTGAAGGAAGAGTACGTCAGAATCTTAAAGATACACTTACTGCTCTGTGTTTACTATAATTCGCAATATTACAAATAAATGTCACGTATTTCTTGTAATTTTAGTGGACTGGAATGTTAAGCAAGGAGAATTATGCAGACTTTTGGGTCAGACTACCTGTTTGGTACATAATGTATTTGGAAATTCTCACCTTTTATGTTTGGTTAGTTTTAATTCTTTGTTTCCGCTTTTTCGGTTTTCAGCATGGAAGAAACTTATAACAAATATAATAGACGGAGATCCTTAAACTACAATTTTTTTATGACACTTCAATTCCCTGAACATACTTAAATTTCATATGGTGAAGAAGTTTTTCTTACATTCTTCATTTTAAACATCATATGTCAGAACTGAAATTGCCATTTGAATAGAATCATTATTCTTATGTGCTTTGTAAAATTTATTGATGTTTTTCAAGAAATTAATGTATTTTGAAATCAAAGTAGTTTATTAAGGTCAAATCAAATTATACACTACTGAAAGCTTATTTAAACAATCACTGGATTTATTTATTAAATTCGCTTAAAGCTGCTCTCACGAATGCACTAGAGAGATGTCGAGACTCAAAAGATGTGAACATGGAATTCCTTGTGGGCGTCACTTATGAGTTGAGCCGCGGAGATACTGCTGTTGGTCTTCATTTTATACATTTTGAAATTATTTTTTCGACTAGAAAGGAGGATGAAATTTTTTTTTTTGAAAAAGATTTTCGAGAACTTATAGGGGTTTGTTACGTTTTCTTAATTATGTTTAAAGTTTATTGTAACCATACGTTGCACAAGGTATTAATCTGCATCGACAATATATTAATAATTTCATAGGCAAAAGAAATAAATGAATAAGCAAAATAAGAAAGGATTTAAATGAAGGAAATCAATGACTGCGTAAGAACCTGAATTAAAGCTTCTGATATAAAAAACTGACCCAGACAAGGTTTAATTCGTTATACGGTGAGCATTGGCTAGCAACAAAGCGCATGATTATAATGAGTAATGAGCTATCACTTCCGGATGATCTTTGTTCTTTGTCTGATCTTTTTTTCTGTTCTATTCAAGTATTACAAGGTGACATACTCAATGAAATTTGTTCTTTTTGATTTGTGCTGTTCTGTTCTAATATTTGTCTAATAGGTCTACTTTCTCGTCCTTTTTCTATTTTATTCCGTTTCGACTAATAAAATTCGGTGACTGATTGCTGGATTCTTCTACAATATTTTGACACATTTTGACACAAGTAGATTTAGTTTACAACGAGGGGTTAATTGAACAAAGAGCTGCCAACTTTTTAACAATCAAGTGCAAGTTTGACTGAAGATCGAAAAGTTTTGACAACAAAGGAATATTCATAATTTATTAAAAAATTCAAACTGTTTTTACATCAAAGAATTATTCAGAATAGCTAAAGAATGTTCATATGTATTTTATCTATATTAACATATTAAGCGACGCACATATTTTTTGTTAACAACTGTAACATTGTAGACCACGCAGACATAATTATTAATTATAATCCAGTTTTCCCAATTTGAGGATATAGATTAGAACTCCTTGTCGACTTGGTTTTTATTCCCAGGTATTTCATATGCTGGTAACATGGTTGGGATCCCATATGGATGATACGATTTGGAGCCGTATTAGCGCTAGACTGCTTACGGATACTTCAAATGGTATAGCTAATTTGGAAAAGCTACTCTTACTTGTTCTGCTTGCAGCAAAAGATGGAAAAATGCTCCAGGTAAACATTAGTGGAATATAAGAATTTTCAGATTTTAAAGTTATGAGGATTTTTAGCTGCAACAGGAAAAAAGAGGATGATATTTGATTTACATATGGATAAAGTGGAAGGACGTAAAGAGCCATATAGCCGTGCATTAAATATTTTTTGGAGCCGAACTAGAAATTTAGATTAGTATTTTCTTGCTTTATCAGTTTAACTGCTGTATCAGGATATTGCCTATTTTAATGAAATTATTTTGTATATTATATGTTGCAGAAATTGTTTGGTAATGAGATATACAAAAACCAGATAGTAAAACGAATTTTCTTTGAAAAAGCGCTTTTTGTCAAGGTCTTTCCTTCAACAGAACAAGTTCCTGAAAAACTGGCTATGTGTTTGCATTGCGGCGACGAAGAATCCTCTGGTGACAGCTTTTTTATCAGTCTTCTTTTGTATTCAATCTCTAAAAACATCCACTGCCAAATTTTTAACTATTATAATTTGCTTTAATTTATTTTAAAGTATATATATATATATATATATTTCATCTGATTTCAAATTGTCATTTACCTATATTTTTTCCCCTCACTTATTCCTTTAATTCTTATTCATAAAGCATATTACTATTCACATTTGTAATAACGCTTGTATTCAACTGCCCATAACAGGTAGTGGACCATGGAGTAGATTACATGAGGATACTATATGTACAGCTCTGAATGTTTGGGCCAACGGTATTCATGTGAATCATTCTTCCGATGAACAACTTGATTATATTGATGTTGTGCTTCTAAACTTTGTCAAATATGCAAAGTAAGTTTCATTTCGCTCAAGTTTGCGCTGGTCCTTTAATTCTTATATATTTAACAATCGTCGGGTCTTAAGTATGATATCACCATAAGATTGGAAGGTTTCAGCAAACAAATACGTTGTTCTATTTCAAATGAAATTGTTACTAAAATGGCTTCTGGTGTCAACATCCGTCTTAAATGTTCAGATCCTCGACGCAGGCTAAGAGGAATGTTTGTAGCAGGTCCATATATTTTTTCATTTTGTTTTACTTATTTTGCATTTCAGGGACATTTAGGTGCTCACAGAAGGAATCCTTTTTTATAGAAATAAGATTTTACAAGTGAAGTTATGGATTAATGTACAGATAATATTATAATTTTAGAATTGTATATTTTTTTTCAGAAGTGATTACGGATTGGTTCTCTTTGGGTGAGCTGAAATTTGAATTTCCTCCTGAAGCAGATGAGATCATGATAGACTTAAAGAAGATTGTGGATGATGAGTACGATGCAGATGTGCAACCTCTTAAAAATGATAATGAGGAGAAGAAAGTGATACAACTGGAAATACGGGATGCAGAGAATGATGCAGACAAAGTGGATAGTGATGATGATGATGACTTTCCTGTGTACGAAATCCCCGAAGAGGAATTGATCTTAAAAAAGGTTTACATAGTTGCTGTATATGGCCAGTTATATTAGGCCGTAAACAATGTACTTTGGTCAGGTTTTTTTTATAGAATGCTTCTTTAGGATATCTTTATTTCTCCAGGAAGAAAATGATGAAGATTACCGTAATGTAGAGATGCCATATTATATTATGGATTGTATTGAGGGACTGAATGAACAGAATGATTATGCCAAATTTGAGGCTGCATTTAACGCATTGAAACCGATGATAAGGTAACACTTAGTTTTGGCTTTGTTTTTAAACAGACATGCTGGTGATTTTTATGTTACTTTTTGGTTTTTCCAGTAAAGGAGTAGGATAGAACAGTGAGGATTCAGGAAATAATGCGAAATGTATCGGTATGAAGTGTTTCCGGTTCCTGATGACGAAAATTTTTAAGTATTTCATTTAAAAAAATCCATGATAAAAATTCCACATATTTTGGTTGATTTGAGACGGCGAGCTGTTGGTTATGAGCAGTGTGCAGAAGAACTACTTTGTCGGCTTATCGACCTTAGCAATCGCTTCAAAACCGAATGTTTTCAGGTAATTATACTAATTACTACGTTGTTGAAGGAGTAATATGCATACCGTTGATATTCAGAAGCGAACAAAAGCATTTCACGTTATTTTGCAGTTTTGAAATATCAACCAAGATCATAAAAATCATTCTTGTCTGTTATTGTTTCAAAACAAATTTCGAAATAGATTCATTTTTTATTATGAACGGACAGGTTTCTGAAAAGAATTACTACTAAATATAGTTAATTATTTTTTTTTGCAGTGTATATTTTATAAATTTTTATATCATTACCTGTAGGAAAAACGACTACAACTTATTCAGTCATGTTTGGTGACAAGTCCACATCTGGGTAGCGTTGCTGTTGATATCATGTTTTCAAGAAAGTTTGTTTGAATTTGATTGTTGCATTATTAAATTCAATCTGTTTCGTATAGCGAAGAAATTCTGGAAGGAACTGTTTTTGAAGTGCTTTATTCTACGGGCATATGTTCATTTATCAGTCATTTTCAGGTGTTCAATGACGAATCGATATATCATTCTAAAGGCTCTGTCCGATGCGGCATTAGAATATTCATCTCCAACCGATGTTGTTGAAAATCTTGATGCAAGAATTCCAAAAAACGGTGATAATGTTGAAGGCATGTTCTTTATAATGACTAAACTCTTCCCTTTATCTTCCCTTTAGTGGTTTAACATTTTTTGTGATTTTGCTGAAGACATGTAATAGTTTTCAGTTGTACAATATATTATTTTTTTTTTTTTTCGTAGACTGTTGCAAATGTGAATTGATTCATGCACTGATTATTCAGGTAGCACAGTTGTGAATGCTGGAAAATTGATTCCTAAAACAAAACGTTTTATGAAAACACCAGTTACGTTGTTAAAAGAAAACAGATTTACACCAGTGGCAAATTCCTTTTTCTATCCCTTGACTGCAATTGATCAGCATCGTGAATATCTTGATCTCACTGTGAGTCTTATTTAGAGTTCTGTGGAACTGATTTCGGTCCTTGTTTACTTGTTTCGGAATAATTCAACCATACTATGTTGCGAAAACACTTGACTGATTACTTAAGCATATAGTGTTGTGAATAAAGATAAATTTGTTATTTTTAGGGAAGAGATTCGGAATTATTGAGTAGGATTTTGTTCTGCATGGGTCATTTGATCAGATGTTCTGGTTCTTCTCCATGCACAGTGAAAATGGTTAGGTATGTTAATTGGATCAGAGACTTTCATTTCAATTTCAGACAATATTAAGATTTTCGAGGATTAAATTATACTGGTCGAAAGGTTGAGTTCCTTGGCATCGATAATTTCAAGTAATTTCACTTCCTTAATCATTTTTCTGCAATTTAAAAGCTGTTAAAAATTTTTTTTTGAATAAAATTGGATATTTATTTTTGTCTACGAGGATAATTTGTTAGACACTTAAACTAGTCTTTGCATGTGATAAGCAATGAACCAAATGAATTATTATTATCCCAGAAAAAATATGCTGTTTTTTAAAATGTTTTCTGGTCATGCCAAATTTGGGATTTTCAAACAAAATTTGAAACTTTGTTTCACGAAATAATCTTGCCATCTTCTCATATTTAGATTAAACGACTCACTGTTTTGGAATTATTTACAAATCAGTTTTTAGAATAGTGTTCGTCTTGTTTTATATCAGTTATAACTCATTCTGATATCTAGTAGCATTTCACTCGTTATAGGTCTTCATATCAGTTATCTGAGCAGGAACATACTGTGTATTGCCATATTTCTTATTTTTCATAAAATTAGAGTGTTTTTCTTCACTGCAGTACCCTGGCTTATCTGCTTGTTCCGCTACGACATAATACGAATTTTGCGGTGAGACAGGCTGTACTTTTTTGCTATGCTTCTATTTGTGTATCCTTATCGAAGGAGGTATTACTTCAGTTCTATTCGGGTAAACATCTGTTTTTTTTTCATAGCAACCATAACAGAGTCGTTATCACAATTAGATTTTTATCTACCCTAACAGAATAGATTATCAGTTTTTATTTATATTGTGGAAAATGATCGCTAGAAATTCTAATAAGAGTGCAGTAGCCTTTTTTCTCTTATCCAATGCTTGGTAATTTTTTTAAAACAAAATTTCGACGCTAAAAGGACATTATTTGAAATGGATTTAACTTTTTGCAATTTATTTTAATTCTTTTAGATGAATTAGTCGATTGGTTAGAATATGCTACGAAGCTAGCTGAAGCTGATCCGTCAACAGAATGCCGACAAATTGCGCAAATGGCAGCTGAAACCATTGCTATAATTATCTCTGTTAACGACTAAGAAATTTACTGAAAGAATCAATTACACCGATTGGGCAAAGTTGGCAGAATCATTGAAAAATTGATCCTTTTTTGATGGGGGAAGAAGCCTCCTGCTTTGGAACATCTTCATTTGCATCTGCAAAATATTGTGGAAAATGATCGCTAGATTTTAGTATTTAAAGGAATTTCTCGTCTTACTTTATATGCTTAAATTTTTATGAATTAGGAAAGAACTGATCTCATTAAATTTCACTTAATAAATTTACAAGAAACTTTCATCTTGCATTATAGCAAGTCGCATGACAACTCGATACTTGCTTCAATTACTAAGAATCAGTCCTTGATCTAGTATCATAAAGTTATTCAGAAACGTGCTCAGATGATAATGTTGTTAAAAGACATCGCGTAAATTTGGACGTAACATTGGTCCATAAACATTTATTTAAAAAATGGGGTGGTCGTAAGTCATCGTTCCTACATCTACTCAGTTATAACATTTATCATGGACTGGCATTCTTTTTCATTATCTTTCGATGCATCTTTTTAGCGTTAACTAAATTAAATTAAGGTGAGCAATTTTCATGCACAAATTTTTAATTATTAAGTGCACTATGTCTTAGTAGTATTGTGAAGCAGTTATTTCTTCATTTCAATTTCAATAAAATTCACACTGTTGAAGAAATTCTCTTAGCTGCAGGTTTTGCTGCAGTACTCTGCAATTGCTTCTGCTCTAGCTCACGTGATGTGTTGATCTGAAATAACTTACTAAGCTTAGGATAAGGTGGCTATTAATGCCCACCGAGTGACACATTGTCCAAAATAAGACCACATGTATATGAGACACAATATACAAAGATGCATTGACAACTGGCAGTGTCAAATTGATGGTAAAGGTATCCTCTGGATGGGAAATAGACCAATAAGGGAACATAAAAGCACAAAAAAGAGTGGACAGCTAAAGGTGGCCCATTCGTTTTTTGCTGCGGAGGATCTGCCGTTGCAATAGTCATCATAGCAGGTACATACTGAAATGTAGCTGTCATCGCTTAATTCGGTTGGTAGTTTGAATAGTTCGCGCTTTCTGCAATGTATTCAAGTTGTCAGCTTGAATTGATTTGAGTGCATTCTCTAAGAAATACAAGAAGGAAATAAGAACCTATATTGACGGCAAGAGTCGCGATGCATCCACCTGTACCACGTGACAATTGTTTGGTTGAAACCATTATAGAGAAGTTCATCAAGGCATCCGCGAATATGACCTCTTATACGAACTCCTACAAGCTGTTCATCTACAACAAAATTACTCTGATTTTTTGCAACGTATTAAGAAGTTATTTTAGGACTGAATATAGCGAAGTCTTGCATATATATATATATATTTGAATATAATAATATCTAATTTCTTTTTTCTCCATTCAAACATTTTTATTGCTGAAATGTCATTCAAGCTTCCTGCATCGATCCAATTAGAATTTCAATCCTATATGATATTAATTTGAATAGAATGAAATACCAGCTACAGCCGGTTCTTCCCACATTCGTATACATATTGTTGGACAATAAGTGAACGGAACGGCCTGTGGGTCAAGATTGTTCTCGTTACACAGATCTGTGAAATTTTTCGGCTTTTTGTAAATAGAAGAAAGAGCGGGCCAAACTGCTTCATACAGTCGCGACATGCAGGAGAAACAGCGAGCAGTATCTGGAAATTAAACTAATAGATGGATAACGGTCGATACTTAACAAATTCATTATAAAAAGTCATTTCACCAATAACGACGACTTAGAGATACTGATACACATTTACTCATGCATATCTGAGATGCAGGAACTTGCAATGAAATAGTGCAAAACCGGCACTCACAAGAACCGGATTATTTTCATTTGTGATTAATGTGAACTTTTCTCCTTTCGCAGGAATTCATCCAAAGTATTTCAAGAGTTTGGTATCTACAAACATCAGAACACTGAAGAACTGATATCTAGTTAATTTAAATATCTGTTTGCAACTCACCAAAAATTCTGCATCGCTATGAAATCAACTCAATTAATATTTGTAATAAATTTTCCTATATCAGAAAAAATACACATTTTTTGCATTAAGTGATACTTCATTTGCTACCATCAAATTAGTGTTATTACTAGGAATGTTAACATTGAAATCATTAAAATACGCTAAATGAAATGATTTGGTGAAGCGCAGACTTGTTGCCATCTGCACCTTTCTAACCCATAAATGTTGCTGTATAATTGGGAAGCATCGTTGCAGCACTGATACTCACGGACAACAACGCCGATACTGCTGCTGAGATCGTTACGAAGTGGAAATACATCGGCGCATCGCGTAATATCAGTAACTGTAGAAGCACAGTCACTAACCAATGAATGGGTCAATTGGAAGTATGACGAAGTATTGAATCCAGAATTTGAGAGAGATATTAACAATACTGAATTGTTGCAGATGAGTTATTAAATAACAGTGATGTACTGCAATTCAAAATTGCCTCTAATTAATTGTATGCCAAACATAATTTCAATAATAGTTATAAGATTTATAAGAGTAATCAACAAAGTTTAATTTACAAATATGCTGTAAATTAAACTAAAAAATAATGACACACAATTAGTAAAGCGATTTTTGTTTTCTGACACTGAGTAGATTTGTTGAAGAGATGTATTTCAAGCAAAAGGTTTGTCTCAATATGTGTGAAAATTTCAGGTTAAAGGGAATTGAAATTCTATTCAAAAAATTAATTAATCAAACCCATAGAATTTTAGCTGTATTGTTTAAGGATGATTTATCAGAGTTACGTACTATTCGCGAAATCTATTGCAATAAATGAAGTGAATGGGAGGAAATGTCAGTCAGGTTGAAAGAAGACGAACTATTTAATGGCTAGTGGAATAGCTATGGGACAAACTTGAGCAACATATAACTAACTATGACATTAGTTAGGTCCAGCAAGCATATTCAGTTGATAATATCGAAAATGGTTGGACGCTTCCGGCACTTCCGACGATCAATCCTTATTTGACAGAAAGTGAATGTTAGTTATCATGAGAACAACGAGAAGGACAACCGAATAGATTATATAAACACATCATAAAATTCTGTAAATGAGGTGAGAAAGGATGACAGCTATCAAGGTAAATCTTTTTTTCTCAAGTAAGACTTGACGATTGAATGAACGAGTCTCAAAGATTGATTTCTTAGAAGATTACTATTTCTGCTTCCATTTCTTTATTAGTTGAAGCACTCACTCATCAATTTAAGTGCCATCAAATCCTTTTTCAGTCTGTTTTATTTGTCCCACAGTTCAATCTACTCAAGCAATATAAACGATTGTAAAATGTTCAAGTGAATATTATTTTGTTTATGATTAGTATAGCAACTTACGCACCTTAAACTTTAATTTGAATTAAGATTAGCACGAAATTTGTTGTAAGTGCTGCAGAAAATTGGATTATTAAATGTCGCATAATTCTTATCTTCTATATATCAATTAATTAATTAAGTTTAATCTCTAATGAGCAATGATTGGTAAATAATGTATAATAAAAATTAATGTAATTGATATGGCAAAAATGTACTGATTAGGGGAATTGATTTAAAGTAAAATGTCAATAAGAAATGTATTTATACAAAAGCAAAAAGCTGAAGAACTAAAGTTACATATTGCCGAAAATCTGAGAAAGTATTTTGTTAGATATGAAACGCTACGAAGAAGATTTGGAAAAAGCATAAAAAGTATTGTGATGAGTATAAATGGAAATAAGAGCTTTTCATCTCTTTTTTTGTAATTGCATTCGCAAATGAAATAAATTAAAGAAGCAAGGGAAGCATTAGGAAAATCACAGTGCGTATTTCATCTTTATGCTTGAGTATTCGGGAAAGTCGAAGGCTATAATGAAAAAGAAATCCATGGAGCAAAGTAAAGTCTGATCATATGCGATATTTGGAAAGTTCCAGATAAGATAAGCAAGGAAACTTTTTAATGGAAAATTAAAAAGGATTATAATGAATTTCGCTGGACATAAATTACTATTACAAACTATTAATTTACTTTGTCAAGAAAGCTTTTAATTACCTCATAAATCCATTACAGATATCTATTTTGTTGCATCAAATTGATTACATACTTTAAAAAAAATTTTTCCCTTACATTAGCCAATTTCTCTCTCATAAAGAATAATAATTCAGCGATGTTGCGCTTTCGCACTTTTTTTCATTATAGCATTCCGTTGCTGCAAGCAATTCTCTGAATTTCCATGAAAGAGTTTTGCTCGTTTCTGGAACGAATATAGCCGGATAGGAAGGTATTATGCTGAGCTGTCTCTTTAGCAAAAGTATGTATATATATATATATATATATATATATATATATGTATATGTATATGATAGATGAAGAGAGAGAGAGAGGAGGGGAAAAAGATAGGTAGATAGCATTGTTTACATAATATGTAAATTTTATCAAATTCGATTTAACTGACCCTTGCAAGAGAGAAATGACAGGTGAATTTTGTGAATGGAAGTCGAAAATTTTTGGAATCTAAGCATATGAATGTCAATAGACTCGACAAATACTTCCATCTCAATTGTCAAACGACACTAGCGTGTATTGTTAGATTTCAGAACATTTTAAACTTTGAAGAATCTGATAAAGAATCGAAATTTTAGAAGACAGCTCGTCGTACACTACTAGTTGCCATGTTTTGCTGGATTTATTAAGAGCTAAAAGTCAACCGATACACTGACCTCAGTGACACCAATTTTAAAAATAGAACTATCCAATAAATCTGAAAGAGCGATTATTTTAGTCATTTTTCATGTTTTTTCTATAACTACTTTAGTTTTTGCAACTTGAATGGAACAAATCACATTGTAAATGGATAAACAGAGATTTGTAAGGTATAAGTTTTGAATGAAATACAATCACCGAAGTATCATGAAAGCAGTGATATATCAATGACAACAAGTGGTTAAAATTATTTAACTTTAGAACATTGATCTAATACTGA